TCCATTAAAAATGGGTCACACTGTATACACAAAAAACCAGTAAGAAATAATCATTGAGTTCGGAATGAATAAAATCAAGAGACACAAGCTAGCTTAGAAGAAACTTTTATATAGAAATCGCTGAAAAGCTTCTGTAAAAAATGAATGAGTAACAGAGAAAGTTGAAGAAATCGACGAGCAGTTGAAAATGAGAACAATTAATCAAAGAAGAAAACATTCCGACATGCCAATAATGTCACCAACACAGGCACATTGAACTTTGAAGGTAAACATACCTGATTCAGATAAGAAATTTGATCTCCAGGTGCTTGTCTCAGGAAATTATTGAAATCAACATTATTTTTCGTGAGGGTACCAACAGGAGGAAGTAAATTGCTGCTGTCCTCAAATCCCACTCCATTGTCACTGCTTTCCAGCTCTTGAAGGTCCGTTGGTAAGTCCTCAAAATCTAAAGATCCACTCAATTCATCGCAGATGTCGATGTTAATGAAGTCGACATTCTCTATGGGCCTTTCTTCATTTTTGTCGGCAGTGAACGGCGGTGGAATGAAGAACTGCGAAAAATTAGATGAAACGTTCTCTTCAGAGTAGGAATTTTCAGTTGTGTAAGTTTCCGTATCGAAATTGTTTTCCGAAAAATCTGTTTGGCTACCATTTTGACTGACGTTCTGGTCGAAATCAACGACGAAGTCGTTGAAATCGAAATTGACGTCCACCTCGCTATTTGGCGTGCTTGCCGGAGTGTCTTCAGAGTTCGAAATCAAGTAATCTATGAGATAATCGTCGCTTGGTTCATCGCCTTCGTTTATATCGGTGGCTTCGGTTGGCGTTTCGTTGAAGGTTGAAATAATATCATTTTTCGAGAGGTTTTGTGCTTCGTAGAACGCTAAATTGAACTTTTCCATCAGTTCTGCCTGGGATAAGTGATTGAGGGGATTGTAGAGTTGATCTGTCATTTCGTATGACTTCAAGAGCATCTGGAATAAAAATGCAAAAGTTAGTTGATCTCTGCCAAGAAAATACACCTAGAAAGTAAACCGTTTTTTTTTATTTTAATTTCAATATTAAATTCTACAAAAAGGATTTGAAGCTTTATATCTTCTATTGATTATCTGCGAGCGCTTTCTACAGTTGGTAGTACTGTCATCTTCTAGCACTCCTCAAACTGAACTGGTCATCCTGTTGTCTGTCTCTTTATACGATCAGAGTGTCTTAACTCAGGTATTTCAGGTACTTTACCTGTATATGTTCTGTATCAGG